TAAGAGATGTGTATTTTTCTTTGAGGAGAAGGTTCCAATATTATATGAAGACGGTGTTGCTTGGGTAACTCAAATGAAAGAAGAATATATTGAAGAAAATAAAATAAGCATATTTTGCCAGAGTTCTTTCCAAGCACGGTCTTCAATAAAATTTATACAAGATTGATATGTGTTATCTCTGAAATGTTAAGTGATGTTTTCATCAGGGGAAATAAATACGTGCTGCACTTTTTTTCCTTGACTTAGGTTTGTCCCAATGAATTTTTCAGGCAAGGTTTTTAACGAGGTAGTAATCAATATGTATTAGAAGATATATATACTCATTTTCCTTCACTAGAATTTTTTCCACAGGGTTTTTCCTAGTAAGGTTCTAATTAGGCATATTATCAGACATCCAAGGGAGAGTGTCGAAAATATATTTGTGTGGATGTCCATAACTTCAAGGTGTAATTACACCATAATGTATATTAACTCTCACACCTCCATAACCTCCCCCTCCATGACTTACATGTTTAAATATATGTCTCCTTAACTTTCATGGTTAAAATGTCATGTTTATGACTAACCTTTTGTATGCCTCCATGTAATATTATAAATATAGACATTAGAGCTCATATTTGATACACTTGAAGATTTGGAGAACACTTGAAGATTAGGGGAACACTTGAATACTTGGAAGAATAAGAAAAGCTCTCATCTCTTGTCTCCCTATTTCTATTACTCTTATCTTCTATATTTCTTGTCTTATTTTGCTTTAGTTTTAAAATAGATGTAATTTTTTACCCCTTTGTTTAACAATAGTTGTCCACTATTGACTTGACACACTCCTTAAGAAACAATAAATAATAGGGGTAATATTACTATTTTATCTTTTGACTTTATTAAATTTAATGCTTTTAGAAATGTGTTAGATGACAAATAGTATTTATAAAAGATAAAATAGACACAAAAGGTAAATTATCTCTTGATGACAAGTATTGTTGGATAATTATTTTTAGTATAGTGGACACTATTGTTGGACGGAGGGTTTAAAAAATATAAATAATAATTTAAATGAATTTATTTTATGAAAATAAAATATTTAGGATATTTTTTTAAAACAAATAAATTAAAAAATAAAGTGAAAAAGGTGAGAATAAGGTTTTTGGTGCTTTTCAAATTTCAAATATAACTTGAAGTTGTATTTGAAATTTTCATGAACAAAACTATTGTTGAAAGAAAATGAAATAATTTTTTGAAAATAAGTGAAAAATTCTCATGACCAAACAATTTTCCGAAAATAAGACGGTAATTTAAAAGTATAATTCGTGTAGCCTCTTCATCGATATCTCACATCCTAATTTTCCTATTTTTTCTACATTTTTAAAGGTTATGTCATATTTACGAGACCATTTGATGTTCTTCTATATAGCCTTATAAAATATAAGTATAGACACTAAAATAGAGATTTAAGACCAAGAAGTGGTGTTGGCAACCTGTTAATGAGGTAGACTGCAAATTGGAATGCGAGAGGCCAAAATTTGAGAGGGACAAAAGCATGGTGAAGAAGAGTTAAAGCGGTGTCCACAATGTGGCGATGTTTTCTTTCGGCAATGCCAACTAGTTAGGGAGTGTATGGAGGGCTTATGAGATGTTGGATCCCAAAGTTCAAGAGAGTGGATTTAAGGCCAATGTATTCACCTCCCCCATCAGTGTACAATGTTTTAATTCTCAATTGAAATTGTTTTTGAACCATTAGAAAAAAATTAGTGAAATTTTCCTTCACATCTGATTTGTATTTTAAAGGAAACAACCAAGTATATTTCGTGAAATGATCAACAAAAATGACATAGAATCTGAAATTATCAAAAGAGATAGTTGGAGAAGGACTCAGAGTAAATAACATCAAAAGGCCTAGAACTTGTAATTGAATCGTCACCAAATGGTAGACGATGACTCTTATTGCATAAGCACGAATTACAGAATGTAAAGGACTTAACATGGTTCACTGGTAGGTTGAAAAAAGAGATACAAGCTTTGGTAATACGAGGTTGAGGATGACCAAGACGAGCATGCCATAGATGCTACAAGAGAACATGCGATTAGCTACCGATGTTAGCTATGAATCTAAAATCCCTAGCTACAATATAATATTAGCTATGAAATTACTAGGAAATACATATTTCCTAGCAAATGTTTTGACTTCAAAATCAAGGCAGATAATCGCTAGGAATTAGCTAGGGATGGTCCCTAGCTAAATTGTAGCTTTGCAATTCCTCTAGCTAAGTCTAACGCTAAATATTTTCTGGAATATATTGGAACAAAATTTTATCCCAAAATTTTTGGAGGGAAAACAAATTATAACTCCCTCTCTTTTTTAGAACCTTCGTTCTTTTATTTTTTTCAATTAAAACTCTTGTTTCTTCCTTTTCTCCTTTTCCAGTTAGAACTCCTCTTGCTGATAACCTCCATTTTGATCTCTCATTTCTGGTAAGCTAATTTGATTGACATATATATCTCTATTTTTTTTCACATCGATGTATGTTGATATGTGTTTATGTATCAAGATGTAAAGGTTTTTCTATGTGTATCTGTGAATTTTGCAATTGGGGATTGTATATGGTCAAATAGATTTGAATGGTGCGTACTGGAGAGCCATATCAATGCAGACCTTGACATTCTGCTAGTCAATGAATATCAGTAACGTTTTATCTCAAGGAATTTGGTGTACCAATTTCTAAATCATTCTAACTCATTAATCTTTTCTATTCATAACTCTCTATCTAAACCTAATCATATGTTGTTGCAAATAATTAATTATGAAATGAAAAAGTTTTGCATTTGCTATGGGATATCAAAAGTGAAGAGTCCGTGCAACTAAGAATTTAGGACAAAGGTTTTCCTCTATCCAAACATAAACAACAATGGGAACATATGTCAAGGAGCATTGGAGTCGTGGCCTAACAATATTTAAGGTTAATTTCTTAGTATATTTAAATTATTTATTATTGAATTACTGCTTCATTATAAAAAGTTTGATCAAATATCATAGAATTTTTTCTTTTCTTGTGCTCATAGTATCCTTGTACTACTTTAACTTGTTTCTTTGTTGTATAGATTTTATGTAGTAATTATGTTAGTTAAAGTAGGGTTTGGTAAGCATTTAGTGTTCCTAATAAGGATGCAGAAAAGTAAACTAAATTAAAATTAATATGAGTTGCAGAATGAATGGTGCTGACTTTTGTTTTTAGATTTGGATTGATTTTCACTTGTGTTTCTCATTACAAGGACTTAGGTTATGGTTCAATTTATTTAGGAGTTAATATTTATTGGCACTACTTAAATTTTTTGATTTGCATCTCTGCTAAGCTTTATTTTGATGTGCTTTGATTTTGGTGATATACTGATAATACTATATTGTTTCTACTTAAAAGGAAGGAGTGCTTGTTATTCTAGTCCTTATTCGGTAATTAGTAGGAACTAGGACTGATAATAGTTATTTTCTTTATGGAATAATACATAAACATGCCTTTAACTTGGCTTCGTTTTGCGTCTACACACCCTCCAACTTTGGTTGTGCACAAGCAAACACTTAAACTTATATAAAGTTGAACAAGTAAACACATGCGTCTTACTTGGCATCCTACATAGCAATTCACATCCTATACATCATCATATGTGGTGTCCTACGTGTATTATGTCACGCAAGACGCGTTTACAAGTTTATTCAATTTTATGCAAGTTTAAGTGTTTACTTGTGCACACCAAAAATTAAAGGGTATAGATGCCACCTCAAGCTAAGTTAAAGGGCATATTATGTATTGTGTCTTTCTTTAATCATGTTTGAGAATATGCTATCCGACTAATTGTATACTTTTGTCCGAAATTAAAAGAAGTTTCTTTATATGATGGGGTATGGAATGGTGCTGACTTTGTATTTTGAAGAGTTGTTTAAAATGGAATGTGATAGATCAAGCAATTTTGATGATAGACTGAATGAAGCAGGTTCACACCAGTCAAACATAGAATTTACAAACAAAAAAAGCATGAAAGAGAGTTTAATACGATATCAAAAAGAAGAAGTTCAAAAATAAGAGTTTGTTTTCAAAAGGAAGCTGAGTCAAAGAAGGAAATAATGAAATAGAAGTTTTGTACGAAAATGATTTGTAATTAAGGAAATATATAATTCCTTTCCTAGTACAACTTTAACTTCTATCCTTATACAAGTCTGAGTCTAACACAGTTTAGAATCTATAAAAGGACATCGAGCCAGATAGAAGAAATTGTCTTTGCTAATCAAGAAAAGATAGAGATAGTGAGAGAGAGAGAATCAAAGTGAAGGCCAAGGTGTTCGAGAAGTAGAAATGGAAGAATTCTAGAGTTAGAATTACTTTCGAATAGTTGAGTCACATTGATCTGTCTTTGGATCAGTGTTTGTGAGGGTTGAAAGAGTTTGTGAGAGTTGTAAATAAGAAGTTAGTTTGACTTCTTGGGGGGGGGGGGGGGGGGGGGGGGGGGTTAGAGTTAAGAGAAAGTTGAGAGAGTTTGTGTAAACAAGAAGCGAGTTTGACTTCTTGGAGAGTTAAGAGTTTTCGATTATAGTTAATCGAAAAGGGTAGAAGTTTAGGGTTAGATTCATTGATTGACTGAGTTGTAAATCTTGAATTAATTTAAACTTCTATGTGGTTTTTCACTTCCTTGAGTTAGGAAGGTTTCCACGTGATATTGGTGTCACTGTTCTTTAACGTAAGTTTCTTGTGTGGATTATTGAAGAAGTTGGTTCTTGAGTACTGGGTAAGGGTTCTTCTATTGGTATCAGAGTGGGTCTTTTCGTTAAAAGATTCACATCTTGAAAAGAATCGATGGCAACACTACCTTCCTCACAAGAATGAGCTTCTCAAACTCAGCCACCTCTATTCAATGGAAAATACTATAGATGGTGGAAAAATCTTATCATTGATCACTTGATAGGTGAAAATCCCGATCTTTGGAGTGTAGATCTAGATGGTCCTAATATACCCATGAAGAAGGGAGATGATGGAGTCCCCCTGGTACCAAAGGAAAGAAAAGAATGGGATGTTGCGGACAAACTCGCCATTCAAAATAATGCCAAAGCTAAAAAGATCCTAATTTGCGGCATAGGATCACTAGATGAGTACAATAGGATTTCATCATGTGAGGATGCAAAGTCAATTTGGGAAACTCTACAAACTGCACACGAAGGAACAACTCAGGTTAAGAAATCTAAAATTGACAACTTGAACAGACAATATGAACTGTTCAGAATGATGGAGGGAGAAACAATTCAAGATATACACAGTTCACTGCAATCATCAATGAGATTTACTTGTTAGGAGAAGTAATCCCAAACAAAAAGGCTGTTAGAAAGCTCTTAAGTGTTCTACCAGAATCGTGGAAAAGTAAAGTAGAAGCCATCACTGAAGCACGTGATCTAGACAAATTGGCTATGGATGATCTTATTGAAAATCTCATCACATATGAATTATAGAAAAACCAGGAAAAGACAATTGGCAGTAAAAGAAAGGAGAAGAACCTGGTTCTGAAAGCTAGAACATCTGAAGATTTTGAGGATGAGAATATTGCTATTATGACAAAAAAATTCTCGAGAATGTTAAAAAGAGGACAAACTTTTCAAAGAAGAGGTCCTCAAAAGACAGTTGAAAATTCAAGAGAGCAACTATGCCATAAATGTGGAAGTCCAGACCACTTCATTAAATTCTGCCCACTCTGGTCCCTAGAAAATAAAAGAATAACACAGACAAAACAAAGGATGGTGAAGGTGACAAATATATTCCTACCAACAGGAGGATGACTAACCAGGAGGCTCATCTCTCAATGAAGAAAGCTTTTGCTGTAATGGGAGGCATATCAGAAGATGAGTCTAAAGATGAGCAAACTGAAAACCAATCATTACTTGCAATCGAACAAACTGACAAATATGACTTCCTTGCACTACTAGCCATAGTTGAACCTGAAGATAAGGAAAATAACTGCCATATACAGGAGACAATTCAGACAATAATGGCTGGATCAGATTCTGAAGAAAAAGAAGAGGACAAACAGAACCAGGTTAGTCTGCATTGCATTAAAGAAAATCTGGACTCTTATTAAAAAAGAAAACTAGAATCTCTATTGAATACTCTCATAAATGCATACCAATCAACCTATTCTGAGATCTGTTAATGGAAGATTATGCATCATTGAGAGAAGAAAATGAGAACTTAGAACAACAAAACTATGTTCTTCATAATAAGCTAAAAGAATTGAACAAAGAGTTTAAATCCATAACTGTAAAAAAATGAAGACCTCCAGAAAAAACTTCACAGGACCAAAATGGAAGCATATCACAGCATGAGATGGACCAGATCCTCCATACTACTCGATAGAATCCAAAAGAGTCAATATTCCACAAGACATGGAATAGGCTTTTCTAAAACAAAGAATCCCAACATAGATTGTATGTGTTCTCACTGTGGACTTATAGGACATAAGAGTTATGTATGCAATAAAAAACAAACTGCACATAAGAACAATTTTACTTTCGTACAAAAGATACAGAAAGAAAACAACACAAAGATGGTTCCGACACTTAAAATCATTCCATCATGGGCTAAGAAAAATCTCATTCATCCTTTCTCTAACAAACATGGACCCAAGTGGATTTGGGTACCCAAAACTAACTCTTTCTAATAATCGCAGGATTCAGCGGGAGGGAAGCAAAAACAATGGTACCTGCCACCTGGACAGCGCATGTTCTAGGCATATGAATGGAGATAAAAGCAACTTCCTCTCACTGAAAATATTTAAGGGTGGAAACGTAGCCTTTGAAAATGGAAAAACTGGAGAAATACGAGGAATTGGAAAAGTGGGCCCAAACCTTAACCAAGCAATTGACAATATATACTATGTGAATGGACTACAACATAATCTGCTAAGTATATCCCAAATGTGTGACAAAGGAAACAAAGGTATATTTACTACTGATAAATATAAAATGGTTAACTCAACCACAAAGGAATTGGTTCTTATTGGAAAAAGGTATAAAAATGTATACAAAACTAATATAATGAGCCCAGAAAATTCACTCACCTTCCTCAGTGCCATCACCGGAAATTCCATTCTTTGGCACAAAAGGTTGGGACATATTAGTCATTTTACTATCAACAAACTTATATCAAAGGAACTGGTTAGAGGATTACCCGAAAAGAAATTGATCAGTGAACAAATCTGTAGGGAATGTACTCAAGGTAAGCAGATAAAAATCTTATTTCAAGACAAAGGCAGTAGTCAGTACAACAAAACCTTTGGAACTGCTTCACATGGACTTATGTGGATCAATGCGTATGTTAAGTAGAGGGGGAAAAAGGTACATATTTGTAATTGTCGACGACTACTCCAGATTCACATGGACCATATTTTTGGCAACAAATGATGAGACATACGATATGTTTGAAATCTTTGTGAAACTGGTTCAAAAGAAATTTAGTAGTGAGGTTGTAAGCATCAGATCTGATCATGGATTAGAGTTTGAAAATACCAAGTTCCTAGATTTCTGCTCTATAAATGGCCTTGATCACAACTTTTCTGCACCAAGAACCCCACAACAGAACGGTGTGGTAGAACGGAAGAATAGAACATTAGAAGAAATTGCTCGAACCATGTTGATATCTAACAATCTACCTAAATCCTATTGGGCAGAGACAATAAACACTTCATGTTATCTCATTAACAGATGCATGATCAAGTCAATATTAAATAAAACTCCATATGAATTGTTAAAAGGAAGAAAACCAAATTTTTCCCACCTCCGACCTTTCGGGTGTATCTTCTATGTGCATAACAACGGGAAAGACAACTTAGGTAAATTTGATGCCAAAAAGTGTTGAAGAAGTGTTTCTTGGATACTCAACAGAAAGCAAGGCATATAAAGTACTCAACAAAAAAAACAAATCGGGTAGAAGAAAAATCTATGTTGTCTTTGATGAAAGACAAAGCCAAATTGAAAGGAGTATGGTAGACAATCTATATGACCTAGGTATGACAGATCAACAGCTACCGGAAGCAAACCAATTCAATGAAGACATAATCAAAGATCCAAATGACGATTTGAGTCCAATCACCTATAAAACCGAAGACATAACAGGGGAAGAAGAAGCTATAGAACCAGGTCCATCATCATCTAACACTCATGGTACTCAACCAAGTGGCTGGAAACATCAAAGTTCTCATCCAATACAGAATATTCTCACACCCTTGGATTCAAAAATTCATACTAGATCAAAACAAAGGAATATGTGTGCCTTCTCAGCATACTTATCACTGGTTGAACAAAAAAATATTAAAGAAACTCTGGCAGATTCAGACTGGATTAATGCCATGCAGGAGGAACTGATTTAGTTTGAGTGAAGCAAGGTTTGGAACCTGGTCCCTAGACCACATGATAGATCTATAATAGGTTCTAGCTGGGTATTCATAAATAATATTGATGATCAAGGACAAGTCACACGAAACAAGTCTAGATTAGTTTTCCAAGGATATGATCAGGAAGAAGGAATCGATTATGATTGAACATTCGCATCTGTTGAAAGAATGGAAGCAATTAGGATGTTAATAGCCTTTGCGGCCCATATGGAGTTCAAATTATATCAGATGGATGTAAAAAGTGCATATCTAAATGGATTTCTCCAAGAGGAAGTATATGTGAAGCAACCCCCTGATTTTGACAGCCCTGATCATCCAGAATTTGTCTATAAACTAGATAAAGCACTTTATGGGCTGAAGAAAGCTCCAAGAGCCTGGTATGATCGCTTATCCACGTTCCTTCTCACACATGGGTACTCACGAGGAAAAATAGATAATACATTATTTCTTTGAAAACAAGGTAAAGATCTACTCATCGTTCAAATCTATGTAGATGATATCATATTTGGAGGAACAAATGCTGAACTTGGAGTTGAATTTGCAAAGCCAATGAGCAACGAATTTGAGATGAGCATGATAGGTAAACTAAACTTCTTCATAGGTCTCCAAATCAAGCCGTCTCCATCAGGTACCTCAATCCATCAGCAAAAATACATCAAAAATACTAAAGAAATTTGAGATGAATGAGGCTAAAATGATTGATACTCCCATTGGCACCACAACCAAACTAGACAAAGATGAAACTGGTCCACAGGTAACGACACAAAATATAGATGAATGATTGGATCTCTTCTGTATCTAACAACCAGTAGACTAGATATTGTATTTAGTGTTGGTATGTGTGCCAGATTTCAGTCATGTCCTAAAGAATCTCACCTAAAGGTGGTAAAAAGAATACTCTAACATCTCAAATGGACAGTGAACCTGGTGCTATGGTATCCCTCAGGTGACTCCTTTGATCTAGTAGGATTTGTTGATGTCGACTATGCTGGCTACCTGGTTGATAGAAAAAGCACATCTGGAATGGCACACTTTTTAGGACCTTGTCTTGTTTCTTGGGCAACCAGAAAGCAAAATTCAGTCGTACTTTCAACAGCTGAGGCTGAATATGTTGCCGCTGCATGATGTTGTGCCCAACTATTATGGATCAAACAACAACTAGAAGATTTTGAAATCAAAGTAGGTTGTATCCCTATCAAGTGTGACAATACAAGTGTTGTCAATATGGCAAAGAACCCGGTTCATCATAATCGTACCAAACATATAGACATCCAACATCACTTCCTTCGGTACAATGTTGAAAAAGGCTTTATCATGATGACATCATGCAAAACTGAGGACCAGATTACTGACAGTTTCACTAAGGCACTTGGAAGAGAATTGTTTCAGAAAAAAATGCCATGCTCTAGGGCTACTATTTTAGGATTAATAATTGTCTCTCACCAACTCCTTAGAGTGCGAAATAAATTAAGCATCTGCCTCCAACTAACTCATCTTGGTACCCTGTTACAGGTATACTGTTCAAGAGACAACTTGTTGATCAAGTCTAATGAGATTACCCTTAGTTTCTTATAAATTTGGTGCAGAAGCGCTCACATGCCTTGAACCAGGTTTGCAGGACATCAGGTATGCACTTCATTCCATTACGTATCCATCTATGCATTACAGATGCAAACTTGACCCTATCATTATTCTGAAGCACAAGGGACCTGGTTTACATTCTTTTTACATATATCTCCATACAAGCAATTTTACGTGGGAAAACCACCTTAAAAGGAAATCTATTTTTTTTCTCTTTCTCTCTCTTTCCCATACATCATCCCCGTAAATCCAATCGTTAATCACTCCTCCTATCTATGTCAGACCACCATTATTACCTTTCTTTTCCAAGATCTCCTCCCATTAGCCCCCTCTGCAATACACCATCCATACACCAAAAGCAACCAAAAAGAATCCCCAAGAAATCTTGAACACTCCAATGGCTAACCCTCTCATCGCTTACTCCGACGATGAAATCTCATCCACTTCAATGGCACTCCCATCGGCCCCAACATCTCTCGATGTACA